AGCTTTTGTTTCAATTATCCGAGTTACGCGTTTCTCCAAAAAAATGATTTCTTCTAACATAAAAAATAAATTTTCAAGGCTCTCAACCCGTTAACAAGAAAATGACGATGTCATAGTGATTGTCGTTAATGGGTGCGGAAAGAAATAGGCATAAATAAATAGATGAAAAGATGTCAAAAGTCAGGAATATGAATTAACGGTGCCGGAATATTCACAGACCGTTGTATTTAAATGACGCACAATGAATAAATTTTTGACTGCAAGTGAGAAAACGTTAATGAAATACCACGAGGTTGAAAAATTCTCGACCCCTGAGGAAAACCGAGAAAAGAACTTTATCACAAATACTCTGCCCTGTCAATGCCACGTCATGTCAGTGCCCTCAGTACTAAATCATTCTCAATGAATTCGTCATTGATCAGCCGCTCATCGCTCCAAATTTTCATCTCAATCAATACCGTCGCCTTGAGATCGATTTTATTTGCAACCATTTCTCTCCCTGGAAATGAATATTCAACGTTGAATCCACGCCCCAAAATTATAAACACGTTTACATTTTTCATTCGCAAAAAAAAGAATTTGTATCAACGAAAAATAATAATTACCTCGGCATTCCCGCTATTCTTGGTAACCATCGATTTGGGTATCACTCTTTATTTATTTTAGGGGAAATAAATCAGTGGAAATTTCAGAAAAGTACAAGCACGTGGATTTTCGTCGACGATAAAACTCACGTTATCACGTGACACAGGCGCTTCGGTCGCATTTCTCAGTGGAAAATCGTGGCAAATTATCCAAATTATCTTCATACCATACAATTATTCGAAATATCCCGAAGTCAGGGTTTAAAAATCTCCTGACATCTTACAACATGTCAAAAACCTCATTGATCCCAGAATAATATTTCCCGCACTATTTTTATCTGCTATTTTTTCGTCTACAATTTGCATTCTTTACAAACTTCCGTATTTTATTATTATTCTGTAATTTGTTATCCAGTGGATTTTTATATCTGACAATTTTTCACATTTATTAATCAATCATTGTAATTTTAATTTCATTAACTAAAATTGTTTTGCTGTTGGTTAAATTTGTGAATCGATCGATTGTGCCATTAAACTTATTCAAAACTCCGAATGACTGGAAATCCTTTGAAGAAAATGTAATCGTTACCACTCGATTGTTCACTCTTCATTCACGACTCCGATGTCATTTTAT